CTGGCAGATGTCAAAAGGCTTTGACGGCAGGGCTTTAGTGGAAAAAATGCACTAATACGGATGTGCTGTAGTTGCTGTGTGTGTCTCTGAGTGCTCTTGGGCCCGGGCTGCCAAAAAATAAAGTGCCAGCCATGCATGCTACAGGCGTTAGAAGATGTGGAAAAAGTAAAGGCATTTCCCTTGAAACAAACATATATCAGATTAGAGAAAAGAAAGAAAAGGAGGATGCAATTACAAGATAATGTCTTTTTTAAATATTTCATTTACATAATGACTCTACTTTTGATCCAGATCTTTCTGGACACTCAAGTTTCCCTGAAATCCACCGTAATCCCCATGTCCCTCTCAAATGTCACAACATTTTAATTTATGTAACAGTCGAGGCTTTCTCCCTCCCGCAAGACTCCAGCGTGAAGTTGAAAGGGGCTATCTGGAGGAAGGAGAAAACTTAAGACACACGCATTTACAGTTCTTTAACCCTGAGGCCTGCAGGGTAATGGTAGGATTAATTACTGTTGAGTGTGACTTGCAAGGAGAACTGGAGCAGATTATCCCAGATGCTGCAGAGGAAGGCATTAGTGCTGGTCGTCCATGTATGGCAGCAGAGACACATCCACGGCAAGGATGCCACCATGACCTCGCTGATCATGGCCCACTGCACGCACGCACGCACACATTCTCTATATGTGTTCCCCCTCTTATGTGCCCAATCCCCCCATGTGAATCGCACACACACACACACACACACACCCACACACACACACACACACACACACACACACACACACACAACACACCACACACACACACCACACACACACACACACACACACACACACCACACACACACACACACACACACACACACACCACACACACACACACACACACACACACACACACACACACACACACACACACACACACCACACACACACACACACACACACCACACACACACACACACACACACACACACACACACACACACACACACACACACACACCACACACACACACACACACACACACACACACACACACACACACACACACACACACACCACACACACACACACACACACACCACACACACACCCACACACACACACACACACACACACACACACACACACACACACACACACACACACACACACACACACACACACACCACACACACACACACACACACACACACACACACACACACACACCTCCTGTGTGCTCTTTTGTCTCCATCGGATGCAGAAGTAAGCCGGCTCCTCTGCTCTCCTCTCGGCAGGCATAATAATGTGTAATTACAATAGACAATCTAAAACAAAGCCCTTCACTTGCAATGAGTTGCTCTTGGGGAAGGGAAGGTTACCTCAAGGGGGAATTCTAATGAAGCAGATGGCCGAGTGCTCACAGGGGCAGATGCAGACTGTCCTGTTTGTTACAGTCTGCCTCACCTGTCTCTGGACCGCTCTCTGTGTGCATCTGGGAGGGAATACGTATGCAAAATGCTTATTGACACCTCTCATATGGAGGACAAATACTCATCATTTCATGCATCCATGGTGCAAAAATAACGAAGTACCTTTTTGAGGTACTTTTAATTTACTTACAGTATTTCCACCAGAGATTTGACTTTTTACTCATTACATTCATCTGACAAGATGAGCTACTTTGCAGGTTGAAATTATTAATACAAAAAAGCAGACTGATGAAATATGACTTTACTATTATATATTAACATATCTTGGCAGTATTAAAAGTCCTGAGGTTTTGATTCAAATTGAATTTTACATTAAGAATCCAGAAATATTCTATGAATGTTGCAAAAATAATTAAGTACATTTTTGAGGTACATATTTCCACTTTATGCAGATTTAACTTTTTACTCACTACATTCATCTGACAAGATACAAATAAGCAGACTAATTAATTATGACATACAAACATTGCAGTATTAAAAGTCACAAGGTTTTCTTCATATTTACAAGCTGCATAATTAAAATGGTGTTTTACATTAATGGATCCATTATTAGAATCCAGTAATGTTATATATATATATATATATATATATATATATATTACAAAGAATTCTGCATAATAAGTACTTTTAGTTTTGGTACTTAAAGTATATTCTAATGCTAATCATTTGTATGTTACTTAGGGAGCGTTTGAATGCCAGATTTTTACTTCTAAAGGAGTATTCTACACTGTTTTATTAATACATTTACCTTATTAAAAGAGCTAAGTACTCCTTCCACCACTGCCAGCTGCACACACAGGTAAACCCACAATTAAAACAATGTCAGAATGCCCTAAAGACATGACATATTGCATCGTGCTATGCCATGCTGCATGTTAACAGAGGGAAAAAAAGACTCCAGGCATGTGTACCTTATATTTTATTCTATACCGTTTTATTTCATCCAGTATGTGTGCTTATCGACAATGCAGTTTTTGCTCCGCTCCTTTCACCACCACACAAACCACAAGCTACAGTGTGTGTGTGGTTTGTCGTGAGTCAGTGCAATGTCCTGCAGGCACACATCCAGTCACACCACACCTGTACAGTTCCCTTATTGCTTTGTTTCCCCATAGTTCCTGTGTTTAAAGCAGAAAAAATAGATATCCATTGATCAATAGCAAAGCAGTCAAAAATCTGTCCTCCCCAAAAGGTTGCGTGTCGTCGTAAGAAGTGTTGTACCAGTCTCCACGAAACAAAAATGTCAAACCTTCAGGTAGAAAGTCTTGGTGTCATGTTACGAAAACGTCACCACTCCTGCGCCGCACCAAAGTAGAGAGATTATACAATGCAAATTACATGTTTCTTTAAAAATCATGGGACATGTTATGAACTCTGTACATACACACAAATTGGTGAACATTGCTTATCAATATCAGTTATGGCAATGACATCACTTAATAAGAGACTCTAAAATAAATACAGAAATATAAATAGGTCCTATGGAAATATATAAATCTGTATAAGTATACGTAACTTGTCCACATTATGTTCCAACATCAGATTAAGTGGAATAATAGTATACACACGTCAGCATATGAAGGATGGCTTTGAGAAGATGATTTCAATGTAAACCCTCATCTTTCCAAATGAATGAACTTGCACTTTATGTCCCGCTAAACTCATCCAGTGAAGAGCAGCATCACCTTTGGCTTCAACACAGGCTTTTCCCAGCTGCAACCAGTAGAGAAACATGTGAACACATTTAAAAATGAACCAAATTCAAGCCTCTATTTTGTATATTTGTTAGATTACAAAACCCTGTCAAATCTGAAATGTGATCAAGCTTAAAATAGTATGAATCGAAGATCGAGGGGCTCCTGCCAGTTAGCTGTCCAGTGCTGTTACCCTGAAGGATCTTTAATTGATAAAGTCTTAGTGTGAATTTAATGTGGTATCCCTAAACTGGGTTATATCCAGGTAACACAGCTCACTTTGTGGTCCAAATAACATTACTGTCCTGTTATTCCATCTCACTGAAGCAGCAGCAAAAGAGGTCAGTCATATTAGACGCTACGGTAAACACAACTTTTCACCACATATAGCAATCTTCATATCATATCCAATCACTTTGAGGTACATTGTCACAGGGAACACCTGATTCTGGTGATCTTGTACGAATTAAATTGAGCGTTTGTGGAGAGGTGGGAGGGATTTGTGGTCATGAATGAATAACGAGGGCCTCGGGGGGAAAAAACAACAACACGTGCATTTTTTCTCCCCGGAGAAATTGCAGGTTCGATTCCACTGCTGCTACATCTAATCCTCAATCACAGCAAATGATTTTGTTAGTGTGCATCGCTGATTCACCTACACATATTGACCGGGGGGAGAGGGATGCTAATATTAGGCAGTGGGATTGGAAGTGCTTCAAACAACATCTGAAAATGCTGCTTTGACCGAAACAACCGTGATTTTGGAAATGAGACAGAGGTAACATGTGGAGCTCATCTAAAGCTTTGCAATGGGGTGGGAGGGGGGTACTAAAGCTGAAGCAACTTAAACAACCTGCTGTCTGCTTAACAACACTGCAAGGCCAGAAACAGGACAGGAGAACACCAATAACTTCTGCCACACATTATGGGTGACACGGGGAGTTGTCGTGAAAATAGTTCTCCCAGCATGAGCGAGTGAGTCACAGTTGTTCTTCTTTATTCGCTTATCTTAAAAGACACGTCTCAAAGCTTCCTTATCTAATTCCTCTTTTAAAAAAAACCTCTCTCTACACTACATTACACTACATATGAGGCAGCAGCAAATAGTCTGGGAGGATAGAAATAGCAAATCCCCTTTGAAGAATAAACATTGATGTCAGGTGAAAATCTTGTTACTCAATTTTTGGTTATTTTCATGTTTTCACAGAGAGTGAAGGAATACATGGTCTTCTTTGAGTTGATACAATTACTACGGGACCCCTTTTCATCGACGTTACATCATTTAAAAGCTGCATGGTCATCAATCAAAAACTGATTTGCTTAATTTGTTTTAAAGTTGGCAGTTTTCTTGCATAAAAAGTCCAAAACGGGAGATTTTGCCAAGATGTTTGCCCGTATAAAACGGGACATCATGCAGATTGTGTCAGCTGTGTAACTGACAGTGACATAATCAGCTGATACACTGCACCCAACCTTCTCCCCTAAACCACTTATGTGTTAATGGAACAGACTAAGTTCAGAACAACAAATCAATCGCTGTCCAATGTCTATCTGTCCCTAAGCTATGACTTGTGCCTCCCTGTCCCACCCTCCTCCGACAGCGTTCAGCCCCAACCATCGACCCTGCAAGGCAGCGTGACACACACACACACACACACACACACACACACACACACACACACACACACACACACACACCACACACACACACACACACACACACACACACACACACACACACACACACACACACACACACACACACACACACACACACACACACACACACACACACACACACACACACACACACACACACACACACACACACACACACACACAAACGCTCAAAGCTTTCCCTCATATCCGTCCGTTCGATAGCACAGTGGAAAAACATCCACTTCCACTCAGGTACCCCATAGAGTGTCTGTCTACTGGTCTTCCCTGTGGCTAAAAGTCCAACTACATCATTCACCTGTCACTCGGAGACACGCTTCAAACTGTTCTCCAACTCCACGCTTTAATAATGTCACATTGTGAAGAAAATATTGACTTTTTTCCAGATGTGCTGAGGCAAAGCAATCTGTTTGCTTTTGTGCAGCGCGAGGCTAGGCTATTTTAGAGGTGGAACAGTTCAATGTCTTGATTTTCTGTTATTAGTGCAGGCTTGAGAAGCAAAGCCATTGTCAGGGTTTCCCAGCCTTTCAGTTATATGTTTTCTTCTCATGTTGAAAATGTGTACAGATTTGGGAAAAATACTGCTCAATTCATCAGTAAGGCCTGATCCATCTGTGATGAAGACCACGAAAAACTCACAGGTATCCAAATGAAAGCTTTGATCAATAATTGATTTCACTTATATCTTCTAATTCAATAGTAGTTATGTAATTAAAAGCTTGCTGACTTCTACATTTTAACATGACCAGATCATAAGTGGACATACTATAGTTGTTTATGTTTCCTGGAAATTTGCTTTATTGTCAAATGTTATCTTTTTGTGTTGGAATAATCTTGACATAAATACAATTTCTACATTTGGCCAGTTATCCAAACAACATCAACAGTGTTAAAAGCAGTGGCAGATAGGATTTCCTTTTAGATGGAAGACTGTTGTAGTTGAATGATAATGAAGGGTAGATATTGATGAGTAAAGTGATGCACATTTCTGCTTTGAGCAACTTGTTTTGATCAAAAATGATATTTCATTAATTATATATGTATTCATAATATAAATGAAAAAAGGTATTTAAATATCCAAGTACTCCAAAGGTTCTTTAGTAAGTATTCACAGCTTCAACAAAAAGCATACATTATATAAAAGGGATAAGAACAGCAAATTCACTTTAAGATATATTTAATAAAATAGGAAAAAGAGGGGTTTATAATTCATTTTTACTTGAGTGGTTACTGTGTGCTCTTGTTGTGTGCATGTCTGTGAATGGGCAAACGTGCAGCAGCGTGTCATGTCATGTCGCTTTACCTTATTACAGGGACTGTAATGAGGGGGCAGCGTGGTCACTGTGCACCTCTGTGCGTGAGTCCATGGAAGCCTGTGAGGGTCAAGGGATTACAAACATGTCTTGTCAAATTAGGCTGCTGTGGCTGAGTGCTGTGACTGAGTTAGGGACTCATCTGTCTGAGTGGAACCCGGGTCTTTCCTGGTGATGAGCTTCAAACAAACATGTAGAAGCATATCACTGCTCCTGTCCTCTGGGAGTTCACTGATACCTCCCTCCACCGTTCAGTTTCTCCGACCACAGTGAGGCCCTTTGACAGCGCTACCAGATTCTATATCAATATATGATGGACTTATTCCCATTTTAGTTTTTAGCAAACAGCTAAACCTAGATTTGCTCATAGTATGTTATATCAATGTACAGATACCTGCAGCAATACCATCAAAACTGAAGTCTAAATCTTTCAATAATTAGTTGTGACAAAACCCAAACCAATGGTTTCAGAGTCTTCCTTGAACCTTCATTTCCCTCAGAGTTACAGCAGCGGTACAGCACTTAATGGAGTAAAGAGTGGAAGTGGAAGCCGACCTCCGTGTCTTGCTAAAGGACACTTTGGCAGGAGCAATTGCTGCTGATGGAAACGTCTGTCAAAGGCATCAAACCAATGACCGTTTTTTAGTTGGGGAACAGTCTTTCAAGCCTTGGGGCACAAAGCCTTGAGTGCACCCATGATAGCTACAGTACTTCATTATAGCAAGTGTCCATTCAACATATCAAAACTCAGCACTGGCCTTCAATGAGGAATAATGTTTATGTTGATCACATAGCAGCTACAGCGGAAGAAGTAATGCACAAATTAAAATTAAGAGGCATATTTCCCTTTCCACACGTTTTTCTGTGTATTGTATGACCTGCAAAGTCTAGTTTTGGGGGGTAATGTTGTTTTTGAATGCTACACAATGTAACAAACAAGCTTTTGTTAATGGAAGTCATAGTTTTTGTGTGAAAAAGGCAAACATCCTTTTGATAATTTTCTTGCATCAGACTGTATCCCTAACTCATTCTCACAAACACTCACATTAACAGTTACTCACAGTTGGGAAGAAAACATCTTGCTTTCGACACATATTAGCGTCATGATTTTGGAAGACAAAGTGAGCTTCTTAGGACATGGTCAAGGACTCTGCAGAAAGACAGTCACTCACATACTGTTCTTAATATTTAGATAGAGGGCAGCTCGTTGAACCCCTCTCCCTCCTGCTTCATAAACTGAGTTATTATAATTACGATAAAATGGTTTAAAACAAGGATTGACTGATGAATTATTATCCAACAGGAAAAAGTATTTTGGGGTTTTCTAAAAATCTCTTTTTCATCCCTCATTATGTTTTGAAACGTTTATACAGAGGATAAATAAGTACAATCTAATAGATACATTTAAGGATCAACAATATGTGATCCTGTATGAGATGGTAGATGGTCTGTCTCGAAGCATGTCGTCTTAGCTAAAAATATTGATTTTCTTTTTTGAAACACACAAAAAGCATTTATACATGCAGGTATTAGTGCATAGGTTCCTGCAGAAAAAAACAGAGTATTATTGAGTAGTCCATTTAATTGTCTCCCTTAACATCACCAGATGAATTTGGCATAGTTATATCAATAAACAAAATGACTTTCCTTTAAATTGAGATCTTTTTCACACCCTCCTAGTCCCTTGATTAACTTATCATTCAAATATATCTCTATCTATATACAGTATGTATGAATACAAAATAGGACAAATCATAAAATAAATATATTATATTCTATAGCTCCAAGTTAAAGTGTCTTTTAAATCGCAGTAATTTGTAAAGAACTTGTCAAAATGAAAGGATGGAACACAGTGAAGTCTTGAAGACCGAAAGAAAAAAGTGCCACACATGGAGATAGTTTGTGTGCGTTTCAGTTTGGAGGAGCCCAGGAGGGTGTGATCAATCCTCACAAATTGGACGGGAGTTTAGAGCGGACAGTTTGAGGTTCTAGATCTGATGAGTAGGCAGCAGAGGCCCTCCGTAGAGGCAAGGTCGGAGACGCCCCAGGGGACAGAGTTTGGTGAGGGTGCCCCGGAGACATCTGGATTGGAGGAGTCATGCGCCCTGGCACTGAGCTACGGGGTTTGGGCACAAGAGTTGGTGAGGAAAAGGGTGAGGGGTAATATCCAGGCTCCACAGAAGTGGGAAGAGTAACATGGCCTAGGGCCTGGGCCACTTCCTGGGGCAGAGACGGGTGCGAACTGTATAAAAGCTTGAGGTCCTCGGAAAAACGTCCCATCGGAGAATCTCTCCCCGTTGCATGAGGCTGGCTTAGAGGCTGTGAAGGGAGGGAAGATTGAGGCATGAGTAGAGAACTGTGGGATCCTGTGGCACTTGAGGGGTCGCTGTAGTGGAAAGTTCTGCCAGCCACTGGGCTTTGAATAGTAGGGCTAGGCGCCACAGGGGTAAGGCAGGGGGGAGGCGTTGGCTGAACCATACTGGCAAAGGGAAGCCAGTGCAGACCTCTCAAGGGACAACTGGTGCGGACGTAGGCCAGAATGGAGGCCTGCCAAGCTAAAATGGCCATGGGAAGATGGGGGGCCCTCGACAGGCTGCTGGGTGTACTGTCCTCTGCTTGAGGATGGGGAGCCATGTGGGGGGGAATGGAAAATATTTAAGCCAGGCGTAGTCCTACCTCCCCCTGCAAACTGCTGCAAAGGAGCCACCTGAGGAGGCTTGGGAGGGGGCTGGCTTTGGAGGGGCTGACCAGACATTGGGCTGGACGAGCCGGTAGATATCGGACTCTGACAACGAGAGGAACCATGAAGTCCAGCTGTTATTCCAGCAGAAGTCCCTCCAATGGGACAAGATGTAGACCCGCCTATATAGCTCCCAAATGCCCCTCCTGCTGTTTGGCCAATATGTCCTATCATCCCTAACCCGGGTCCACTTAAAACCCCTCCTATATGGCTACTTGTGGCTCCTCCAGAAGACCTTCCCAATGTCCCTGCAGGATTCCCAATTGAATCACTTGAAACCACTGCAAGTCCACCCCCAGTATCCCTTACTGCGGATGCCCAAGAAATTGCTCCCATTGATTCACCAGAAGCTCTTCGCAGGGAACCTCCAGTGGTTGCTACTTCCAGTGATTCCCCAGAAGACCCTCCTACTGATCCCCCAGAAGCTCTTACGAGTGATCTCCTTCTATCTCCTATTGTCCCTGCTGACTTGCCAAAAGCAGCACCCACGGATCCTTGAGGTATCCCTCCAAATGATTCCCCTGAGATCTCTACTACAAATCTGCCAGTAGTTCTCCGCAACCCAAAGTGAGCCCCTGGGAGTGGCCCTGTTGTAAAGTCCTCTCCGGCCCAAGCAGTGTCTCCTCCTGTTGCTCCTTCTACAGAACCGCCAACAGCTCCACCTGAAGACCACCCTGTCGCTCCAGCACAGGGTCCAACTGCTCCTCCACTTATTCCTGACCCTGTGCTTCCACCTGTAGATCCTTGCCGGAAGAGGTTTGAGAGTGGTGGGGTGTTGGAGCGAAACGGCTGTTGATGCTGTGGCTGCGGGTGTAGCTGGGCCATACTAGATGAAGGTGAACCAGAGGACAAGTTTGGTCCAAATGGGAAGGCAGAGGCCCCTCCTCTACTGGACCCAGAGCCAGTAACAATAGGTCCATGCTGGTCTCCGCTACCTGAGGCCTGTTGGCTAGAGCCAGTTGCCCCTGTACCTGACATCGGGTGCATGGCCCGAAAAGAGGCCAGCAATGGCATGTCCGACCCAGAGTGCAGTTTAGAGGGTGTGCTACAAGGAGAGTCCCCAGCAGACCCAGGTGCTGTGGATGGAGGAACAAAAGTGGGAAACTTCTTAAACCGGGTTGGAGGATCCTTTAAGGACCCCAGAAGAGAAACCGGAGGCCTGAAAAAAGTTTGTGGGAGGTTGGGATGGTGAGTAAGGGCAATGGCTACTGAGGTGGTGGTGGCTGCTGCCTGGAGAGGGGCCTGGATGAGGGGGGCCCAGATGACAGGGGTTGGTGAAGGAGGCTGGGGTGGGACATTCTGGAAGAAGTGGGCACAGTGGGCCATGTCCCTGTCATGCTGCACTATCTGCTGGATGATCTCAGTCTCCTGGTAGTTGAGTTCACCAGAATTGAGGTCGTGTTGCACCTTGTGCTGCAGGATGGAGTTTTTCTTGCCTGTAAAAGCAAACACAACATGTTTTATTTGAAACCAGGTTGACGTTTGGGTGTACTAGAGTAACTACTCTATTTTCCGACAATATTTTACAATAGAACAATCTAGAAAATGAAAAGCCATGAAAGTATAAATAAAGAAATTACCTGAAAATCACAAGTTGGAAAAAGGAAGGAATGATAGACACATTATGAGAGATAAGAGCAAATGAAAACTACCCAGAGACAGAATCTCAGAATGACAGCAGAAGGTGTAGGCGTTGAATGTTTGACTAGTTATTGCTAGGATTCTTTAGGTAACATGAAAGACGCAGGTTCAACCGGTAATAGAGTGTGAACTTCACTGTGATAATGGCTCAACAAATATATCTTATTTATTTCCTGATATTGGAAGGTAATATCAATGGGGCGCATCTTAAGAATCAGGGATACATTTGAAATCTTATTTTTCTGAAAAAGCTGTCGTGGGATTAGCATACCTCATAACACCTTAGGTACTCGTATTCTCAGAAGTCCTTGTGAGCTGAGCACAAGGTCAAACAGACAAGAGATGCGTCACTACGACAGGCAACTAACTGCCGACCCAAACTCCTAGAGAAATGTGTGCAACTCTGACCGCAAAAGTCCATTAGTCATTTTTGAATGGTCGCACAAAGCGTTGACAGGGTTAATTCACATGACTGCACTTTTCAATTTGGTGCTAACAAAAGGCTCTGAAAACCGAGGATACTGTAAATGAAATTAGGCCCGGATCAATCTCTCCATTTTCTGATATCACTGGTGGAAGATTAGTGGAGATGTTGCATGGAGGTATTGTATCTCCTTTCAGCTTGACCCTGGCACTACCTAACCCTTTATCATCTGCACACCTCCAATCAGATTGTGCAAAGTCCATCAAGACGGTAATTAATTTGTGGATCATTGCTGTGTGGGTAACTTCATTATGGAAGAAGGGTGTACAGTACATAAGCATCAAGGCCAGGAGAAAGGACGTTTGCGGAGACCATCCCACAGAAACATCACTATCAGCCCACCACATCTCTCAAAAGCGGCCATTTTCTACAAAGAGACCCCCTAAAGCAGTTTCTCTATCTTCCATTCTAAACATAGCTGAGGATAAAACAGAGCATGCTGCGAGGGCTGAGTGATGATACAGGCGTGCCTTTCATTGTGAATTTTTCATCTACTCGGGCTGAGCCTGGGAACAGCAATGGATATGGAAAGAATATCAATTGTATGCGTGAGAGAAGTCATGCAGGGATTTCAAAACCAGAGCGCTATCTGCATGTTTATATGCAGATGACTTTGAAAGTAATTTCATTCGTGAGTATCAGTGTTGACAGTTTTTACAGTCCTAACGTTTCGGCTGTAAATTGAAATCTTTGTCTCGTTCATATCAGTGTCAGTGAGTCAATAACATTAGAAAATACAAAGAGATACATCACGCCTGCTAACATAGGGAAGACCACTCATTGATATGCTGAATGGCTTAAAGAGGATTCATTGAAAGCTTTAATTGCAAATATAAAATATTTTACATAGGAAGGTATATTCAAGGTTGCTAATTTCTGACATATACTGAGGCCTTTTTATTTTAAAAATACGATTTGTAGCATATTTTGTAAAGTTAAAACAAATATTCAAGACTTCCCTCTGAAGTTGTCGTTTAAATTTAACTTTCTTACCAATACGGTCCAGCCTGTCCACGGCAACCGTCTCAAAGGCCCTTCTCATCATGGGATACTCCTCCAGCACCTCGTTGAAGTTGTCCACAGACAGCGAGTACAGGCGACAGTAGGTGTCCGCTCGGACACTGGCTGTCCTTCTGCCCAGCGTCAGCAAACAAATCTCTGCAATAAATAAACAGCAAACAAAGATTGTGATGTAGTGAAGTTAAACCCAGAGGCTGACCTGTTTTATGCTGAGGGACAAAGTAATACACTTTTTAAGCAAAAAGAACTCAAGAGTTGGCTTGTTTACATTGTTAAGCATTATAACTTTTCTGTAATACATTGATGAGACACTTCATACTATTTTCAGAGCTTAGAGGTCTGCCAGCCCTCATCTGCCATGCCCGCTCAGGAAAATAATGCTCCATTAAACAAGCTGCACTGCCGTAGAGCTCTGGCACAGAGACAGTGTGTGTGTACTGTATGCAGATATCCCATGTACATGCATTCAAGTTGGTGGCGTCAATGTTGGTGCCAGTGTTTGCGTGTGTGCAACATGTACACAAATTAATGCATGCCAGTGTTTCATTCATAAGTGCAAGGCAGTATGGGATAATATGATGAACATTAAGTCTATCTCATTTAAACGTTATATACAAAATGTTTTATATATTTATATAAATGTGTGTGTGTATTTATATGGAAAAAGGGGTTTGTTGAATTTGACGTACATATGTGTGCCATGCGTATGTACACACAATCCCTAATGTCTATTCTCTTAAGCTGTCATCCCATCTTCTACCCTCCCTTCCTGTGTTTACTGTCACACTCCCTCTTTCTGAGAAAAACCCATTTCCAGGTCATCTACGCACACACACATGCTCTCAATTCCCTCGCAGAATGCATTTTGCTCCTCGCCCCCTTGAAGCATACATCGAATCACATTTTTAAAGAATTTTTCATCCAACTTATCTCCAGAAATCTCATGCATAGTTTGACTCTCTGAACATAACAACTCCATTGTCCCATTTCCCCTTTTGCACAAACAAGGCTAGTGTTTTGGGTTTGTATTTACATGTGCCTGACCTGCAGCCACAGCAAGAGGCTCCTCGCACAGTATGGGGCAATGTCGGCTTTAATCTAAAACAGGACTAACCCAATTCTTAGGGGGGAAATGTTTTTATATGTGGGCAGGATGACATTGAGCTGTGTGTGGGTGCGTGATAAAACATGATGCTGTCACTGAGCTGGGTGTGTTGGGGGCTAGTAGCAATCAGGACCAATCAGGACAGCTCTTCTCTAAGCAGTGCTCTTATCAAGACATTAATAAAACCTACACATTAATGTGGACTGCTATAAACACTGCTGTTGTTTTCTGATGATACATTCATACTATATGCATGATATTCATAAAGAAGGCAAAGGTTATGGAAACATCGTAGTCTTGGTTAAATATAATACTTGACAATGACCTAATACATGACGTAGGACATGATTTTGTTCCAAAACATCATGTTTTTCATCAGTCATAGCTTAACATCTTACACAACAGTTTGTGTAACAGCCTGCTAATGTTTGTGTAAGATTTATCCATGTAGTCTTTTGCAGTTTGACAAAGCACTGCACTCGCGTTAGGAACTGCAGATGAAAACTTTCTATAAAGGATATCTGTATCAGGCAGCTGCTTAAGGAGATAATTAACTGAGAGGGAAAGCCTTTCAGTTAATTAGCCACAGCATGCTAGCTGTTGTCGGTGACAGATGCTGTTAAGCACTAGATATTTAAGTGTCACCCCTTAACCTAGCATCTCTGAAAGATTCTGCTAATCTGTGAAATGTGTATAGGTAGGAGAAAGATAAAAGTAAGACATGGGGAAAAGTGTGATCTTTAATGGAAGCCAGCTGCAGTGCACGGTTCACCTACTGTGAGAGGGTGGATTGCACAAAATGCTGTCGATGTTGACTCTAAAATTGCACTGTGCTGCTCGATTGCCATTGACACTCCCCCTACTTCTCCTCCCACTGGCACGGGAGTAGGGACCATAAAATGCTACATAGAAGGAAAAAACCCGCTGCGCCATGAAATGCCACCTCTACGCTCACACATGGACCTCATGTAGTGACATGTCTGGGAATAAAGACAGAAATTGAACCTCGTGTTAAAAGTAGTGTGAAAGAGCGAAATGTTAGAACGTATCCTCTGTGAACAAAAATATAAACACCTGTACTACACTGAAGACAAATGGCTTGATCACATTGAGAGATGTTCTCGCAGTCCTCTGATATATATAAATAGTGCAGACAAGTGTCACAAAGGGAATATTTGTATTGTACGGCTGTTGTTTATTTCCCATACACTGATACAAAATACTCCTGCTTGATCTACTTAAAAACGTTATGCACCAGAACATTATGTGTAGATCGTCTTTCTAAAAACTACCCAATTTGTTCCTGAAAATACATGTTCAACTACACATTTTGCAAAAACAACAAACCTGGAAATACAACAAAGAAATCCCTGACATGACTTGCATTTTGAGTGTAGTGTAAACGTACTGCAAAAGCACCTCTCAATAAAAACACCATTACCAGGGGTATCAAACATTACATTAGAGCTGAGTAAACACAAATCAGTGTCAACACTACATGGTTCACTTATAGTACGTATCATTCACTACACATAGCTTGTAATGGATTCCATTCCATTGTACAGGACATTTTTCTATTCACTGAGTGGTTATGAGTGTGTGTGTGATGGTTTGAAAAATGAGATAGGGCAACCACTAAAGGAAAATGCATGAATTGACTTGACAGAGAATGAACAATATGTACTCTTAAGGAAGCAGAAAAACATATGCAGTGTGTTAATGTTTGCGTGTATGCATTTGAGAGAGAGCAGGGGTGAATGCACAATGTACTGTACATAAAGTTATGTGCAATGGGTTGGAGTGTGTATAATGTGACAGAGAGAGCATGGGTGAATGGGCAATGGCCAAGAGAGCTGTGTGAATGGAAAAGAGCAAAAAATACCATGCTCTGCAGTGTGTGTGCATGTGTGTGTGTGTGTGTGTGTGTGTGTGTGTGTGTGTGTGTGTGTGTGTGTGTGTGTGTGTGTGTGTGTGTGTGTGTGTGTGTGTGTGTGTGCCTTGGATGGAGCAGTGCTGGGGGTCCATTTCCCCCAGCACTGCTCTGATAATCCCCTCTGGAGCATCGCATCGCAGCTCTGTATTAAATCCTCTTGTCCTGTGGCTTTCTGGATGAAGCCAAGATGAGGCCGTGAGCCCTCTGGCCTCCTCTAACGGTCTAACAGAAAGCAAGAGAAGCCATCAGAAACAAAAGCGAGGAGAGAAAATCCATGGCAGGGCCCGCGTCTGGAGCAGTAGATTAGGAGCTATGTTAAAAAAAGAAACGTAAAAAAACAACCTAGATATTTAACTCCTTATCCGGCTTTGCTCCTCTGATGCTGGTGTTCGGAGGTTTCCTAGAGAAACTGCTTTTAGCTACTACGCTCCGAGACTCCTGCCAGACTACATTAGATATGCAAGCTCTGTTGACACGTTTAAAATAGACCTTTTTAAAGTCTTTTTTTAACTGTCATTTTTACTTTTCTGCCTTTTTATGATATATTTTATTATTTTTTAGTATTATTCATAAAGATAAACACAATGTTGCAGGAAATGCATTACAGATCCGGCATACTAGGTTTCTACACCCACACAGTTGATTTCAGCTCTTCATTTATCTCCGTTTTTATTCTCTCAAGAACATTTATTTATTGTAATGGTATAAAACCATAAAACCATTACTTTTTTTATTGAATCTAAAAGTCAGCTGGTACAACAAATACATAACCTATTGTTTTTTTCTTCACCCCCATTGGAATATAATATTTTTATGACAGTTGTGTTGACATCAAGGTCAGCCAATCCTGCACAGTTCAACTCTCGACAGCTTTTGCAGATGGTTTTTGAGTTACATTCCATTTATTTATGAATGCTTTACTCCTACAGCTTGCTCACATCTCCTGTGACTCATAGCAATTCTTCCCAAATCTTGCACGAAATTATACTGAAGGACAGGCTTAGTTGGTGTTGCTCTGCCTGTATTGTGTAAGGGGCGTTTGTATTTTTTCTAAGCCTGCCGTTTTTAAAATAACACATTTTTGTGTGGATCTCAACAACAATATGATGATTCATAGTCTGCCTGAAATTGTGGGCTTATGCAGCTCAAATTAGAAAATATAACACAGACACAAGAAAACTGAGAATTCAATCTAATTTTTCTATTCTAAAGGAGAACTATGGAGGACAATAATTAGTACAAAAAGTACAGACAAAATATGCTATTCTGAACTTTAAAGGTCTCCATGAAAAATCTTCCGTCCTCCCCATGATGTCTGCTTTGACTTCATCCGGCCTAGTTATGATTGTTCCCAAAACTGTGACTGGCTGATTAGCGCTGATGCTAACACTAATACACACACACATGGGGTGAAGCCTGCGAGCTAGTTCAGGCAGTCAACTCGAGCACCAATGATACATTAACACGTGACGCGTCTCTCTTACAACCAACCAAACACAATCTCCTAAACTTGCCGCTCTATTTAAGCTGCCAGGTCTGCCTGCCTCTGCCTCGCTAATGCTGCTGGTCTGTCACATTGCTGATGCGTTCACTTGCTGCTGCTTGCCTGCCTCACCACCACCCCAGCTTCCACCTGTAGGCTCGGGGGATAGTTACAGTATCTCATCATCACTCAATGTTCTATGTTAATCTGTGGAGCGATGAGGCCCGAGCCTAGACGCCAAACTCAAACTATATGCTTCTAATAAACATATAAAGAAACACGAGAGTTGTCTGACTGAAATGTCTGTGCACTAAGTTACTCTGCCACAATCATCATGATTTCTACACTTAAGTGACAATGCATTCATCAAAATTAAATGACACTAATTCAAATTGGATGCCGCTCAGGGAAAGGAGGGATATGACGTCAAGTGCTGCGACCTCAGTGCGAGGATCACACATGACTGGTCTTTTGTTGGATGGTGCAGCCCACGTGTCCTGGGCTCTTACTGAAAAGATGTTTCCCTCGAGTCACTGCAACGGCTCTCGAAAGTGGAGAGCAGAATGCGTGCTATGCAAGATGTCTGGGTGTGTGAGAGTGTGTGGGAGAGAAAGCAT